AGCACGATAAAATGGAAATAGTTTTGGACTTGGACCCAGGAAGGCCCAGGTTGAAATCCTGCCTCAGAAGTGTACTACATGTATGACCGTAGGTGAGTCACTTACCCTCTGGGCACCAGTTTCCTCACCTGTAAAATGAAGAGGGTTGATCTCCAAGGTCCCTTCCAGATCTGGATCTATAACTGTGATATAAGGATTGGTTGAAAGAACTAGCTATGTTAAGCCTGGAGAAGAGAAAAATTTGGAGGGGACCCACATACACACACACACACACATATATATATATATATATATATATATATATATATATATATATATGTATATATGTATGTGTGTGTATGTATATATGATAGCTGACTTCAAGTGTTTGAAGATGTGTCAGATGGAAGAGGAATCTGCTTGGCTCCAGAAGGCAGAAGCAAGAACAAATGCTATCCTGAGAATTACTTTCAGGTATGGATTGGACTAGTTGTCCAATTGAGGCCCCTTCCAGGTCTAAATTCTGTGATTTTGTGAAGGAAGTGGCATAGTTTGATAGGTGAAAATGAGGAAGATAGAATCAGTATGTTCCAAGAGAGAAAGGAGAGAATGAACAAAGGAAGAGAGGCCAAAAGGTTCCAGGTAAGGAGTTATAATCCTGGGTCACACCAACTTCCCCAAAGCCTGTTTTTAGTTCTCTTGTACCTATTTGGATTTATTGTTACTTCCTCTGTTAGCATTGTCATTAGGACTCAGGGCTTTCCAGGACTTGAGGGTGACATGGGGTAGAGGCAAAGTGTCTGAGGCAACTCATGAAGATTTAGACATTTATAGAAATAAGGATGTATTCTTAGGTCATCTTGGGGAATACCTTGTTTCATTGGTATCCACAAAAGAGTACCATATCTAAAAGAAAGTTTTAGTAGGATGGGTGGGTGCCTGTAGCAGATTTATAGGAGAACATTAACAAGAGACATATAGGAAGTAGATATGAATGGGTTCAGATCTGCATCTTTGGAAGAAGTACCCACCTAATGAAACTTCCTATCCACGTAAGTATAGCAAAATGATTTATGGGACATTCTGGGTCTGTCTTCTCCTCAAGGAGTTGGGGTTGAACAAGTGTATGCCTGCCACAATTTTCTTGTAGGTCCCTATACTGCCAATGTCCTTCTTTACCCTACTCCCATCCCTCTCTTCTATCTCTTCTCTTCTGTGCCCTTCCCATCTTTCTTTTCTTGGTCATAAAGGTAATTCTATAGTTCCTATTTCTCATCTCCTTCACCTGTTTCCTTATTTGAAAAGTTTTTTCTTTCTTTCTTCTTTCTTTCTTCTTTCTTTCTTTCTTTCTTTCTTTCTTTCTTACTTTCTCCTCCTCCTCCCTCCTCCTCCTCCTCCCTCCTCCTCCTCCTCTTCTTCCTCCTCCTCCTCCTCCTCCTCCTCCTCCTCCTTCTTCTTCTTCTTCTTCTTCTTCTTCTTCTTCTTCTTCTTCTTCTTCTTCTTCTTCTTCTTCTTCTTCTTCTTCTTCTTTCTTCTTCTTCTTCTTTTTCCCTCTCACTGCTCTGTGATATCTCCCTTTTCTCTTGGCATCTTCTTTGCTGCCCCTTCAGAGACTTCCCCTACTACTATCCTACCTAGTCCTTACACAAATCTTCTCTTCTCTTCAAGCAGCTTAAAGGAGTTATGGCTTGGGAGCAAGTGATACTCAAGAGAGAAGAAAAGAGTCTTCCTAGAGATTTCTCCAGGAAAAGCTTTTCCTCTAAACTCTTCTTACAGACAGAGTTATACTAGAAATGGTCCTAGACTGAGAGTCAATAGACTGGATTTTAGTCCTAGCTCTGATAATAACTGTGTTTGACCTTGGCAAGACATTCCCTGTGGACCTCAATTTCCCCACCTATAAAATAAAGGAATTGGGTGAAATAATCTCTGAGGTCCCTTTTCAACCTTAACTCAGTGATTCTATGATCCTCTGATTGAATCAACCTAAATTCTAGTCCCACTTCTGTCAATAACTTGGGAAACAGAGTAGTGGGAAAGAGCATTGGTTTTGGAGTTAAAGGACCTGTACAGTTTAAGTCCCTGGTCTCAATTTCCCCATATGTAAAATAAGGCTGTGCTAAGTAGTTTCTAAGCACCCTTTAAGTTCTAACATTCTGTGATTCAGTAACACTACCTCTCAAGACCTCTTTAGCCTCTGGAAACTCAGTAACAGGTGATTGGCTCCCTTCTCCACTCCAGTCCCCAGGCATTGCTGCTGCCAGATGTTTGGCAGCAGGACAGGCTAAAGTGGTGACTGCCATCTGTTGGAGTCTGTGCCAGCCAACTGGAGCTAGGGAATGAAAATGGAGTTAAACACCAAAAGAAAGAGCTTAAAAAGATACACATGCATATCCTTTTATACATATATGTATGTATCAGACGAACACATTTTCAACTCTTGATAAATATTAACAAGGAGATATATTAACTAGTACAAGAGGGGATAAGGAAAGAAAGGAAGTATATGGGGGGATGGAGGAAGTAAAACCAAAGTAAGATTTAAGAAAAAGGGAAGTGGACCCCAAAACATAGGAATTTCCACCACTGATACCCTCAAAGACCAATGGACCAATCTGACACTTGAAGGGGCAAGAAATAAGAAGGGAGGGGAAAGGGAAGAAAGGAAAGACATTTATTTTGTTTAGTCATTGTATTCTACCTTAAGAGGAAAGTGGGGCTCCTTGAAGGCATTATTATCCAGGGATAGCTATGACTAGGGTCCTGGAAGAGGCTACTTCAATAAAGTTTCCAATATCCTGTCTCTTGCCTTCTCAATGGGTGAAAGAGCAGCTGGAGGGAAGGAGATAATTTGGAACTGAAAATAAAAATTAAAATTTTTAAAAAAGTTCCTGAAGCTTTTTGAGGCCAAATCCCCCCCTTCACACCAAAGTATGTTCAATCATCAACCAGGGTAAGCTAGATTCGGGAAGGGCTGGCTCTTCCATTCCACACCAGCCCTGCATCACCCTTGAGCTCTCAGTTCAGATACATTGCTTCATCTAGCCCACACGTTCAAGTACAGCAACGTTTGATTCAAATAAATCCAGTACTTCACACAGTGGTAGATAACTGGTGCTGCCTATACTTCTTGTATTCCCACCATGTGATTTGTGTCCTATGGGACAGAGAACATCAAATGATGGGGACAAACTTTCTATTCAATACAGGTTTATCTTGCTTTCTTAGTAACATGTTCTTGAGCAGGTTGTCTATAAACAGTGGAAGGGATAGGGATAGGAAAGGCAGCCAGTCACCTAAAGGGAAACACGTGGGTGGAAGTGTGTTTAAGGAAGGACATTTTTATTAAGTGTTATAAATCCACGTATTTTAGTGTCCCCAAATTCAGCTTTCCATCGCAGGTAGGTATTTATTTTATGTCCTCTGGAGTGACAACGGAATCTCAGAACTTGGGAGTTGATGGGGTGTGTGCAATTTTCAAATCCTGCCTGAGTAAAATGCATCAGTCTGTTAAAAAAAAGTTTGTAAATAGAACCTTATTTTAAAATGCACAAATGAAGCCATCTATTTAAAGAGTTTCTATGGTTATTTCTTTTAAGTGAATAATTCTGTTGCAGTCACTTCAAATTTTCCTTTTTTTTGTTAACTTCTCTTTGTTATCTATTCTGCTCCTCCTCCCCATCCCGTTTTGCATAAATAAGGCAACCAGAATTAACAACAACAATAATGGAGTTGTTAATGATCTTTCGTCTTCACAGTTCCTCATTTTTTCCACCTCCTTCTCTACAGATTTTTAATTTGAAATCAGACAAAATGCCAGGGCTTTTGTGCTGCCGTTCTAGCTGAAGGACAACCCAGGTTCCCTAAACTTAAAGAAGATGAGGAAGGAAACTGAACTGTTTTGTTTTCTGTTCTGTCGGTACATTATGTCCTAACATAACCAATTTAACCCCACTTTCCTAATCAATTGCTCCTTATATTCTTTTTCCAGGAGGTGCAAACTGTGTCACAGAGCTACCAAAGGGCCAGGCCAGTTGTCTCAGGGCAAACACATGAAAAATTCCTGCGATTTCATGTCTATTGATTCTAACCCTTAAAAGATCGGGGGCAGTTAGCTCCCGGTGAAGCTTGAGTCTGGGATATCTTTGGAAAGGGCGGGCATGGCCAAGGGACGAGGGTGCAGCTCTTCTGGGAGGAGGGAAGCAGGCTTTAGTTCAAAGGGCCAGAGAATTAAAGCTGGAAATAAGTTTCGTTGCAGTTAATCATCTGCATTGCCCTTTGGCTGTCTGATTCTAGAAACAGAGAACTGCCACTTGGGATCACAGGTTCCTAGGGTGTTTATTTGCGAAGGGGAATAGAGGCCCCATGTTTGATCAGATACCTCAAGATGGTACGCCGAGGTCAGGCTTTATCCCGGGCCCTATTCCTCTTGGAACAGAGTTAAATCCAATCTGATTCTGGAGTATGGACTCCTCTGTCCCGAGATCAAAGCCCCACACCCCCCTACCTTGGTCCCCAACCTCCCCCCATCACTCCCTATGGAGTGGCTTTGAAAAGGTCTAACATGTTCAGAGCTTCTTATCTAGTCTCTGCTCCGAGGCAAGCCATAAATTCCGGGTCCTCTCTCCCTGGCTGTTCCGCCTGAAGGTCTCTGAGGACTCTAGCACAGCCCCCTTCACCGCCCCCCCCCCATGCCTTATAGCAGACTCCCCCCTCTTTCCCCCTGGAGTGAACTGAAACCACTGGAGGAAGGAAGGAGAGATCTGGGATATTTTAAGAGATAGGCGCATCCGTTACCGAAAGTGTTCCCTCTTCGCAATCCCAGGACACCCTTCCCTCTATTCAGCCTCTTCTCTCACTACTCCCCCGCCCCTTCCCTCAGCTCCATCCCTTCCTCTCCTCCAACCACAGTCAACTCTCCTTGATCGATGCCCTGGGGAATCAGATTAAAGCCGGCCTGGGGGGAGCCGTGTGCTGGGAGGCCCGCAGCACAGCTGACTCGGGGCCTATACGTCTTTCAGGGAAAGAAGGGATTCTGAGGTGTCACCCAGACCTAGCGGGCCGGGAGCTGCAGCAGGGAACGCTGACCCCGGAGTCCCAGCGGGAGCAGAGGGGCGCGGGTCTGAGCAATCTGGGACCAGAGGAGAGACGCCGGCTGCGCGAGCTCAACTGCGAGTATAAGGCGCGCTTTGGCTTCCCCTTTGTGATCGCGGCGCGGCTCAGCGACAAGGCCACTATGATGAGGGAGCTGGAGCGCCGACTGCACAACCAGCCCGCCCGGGAGCTGCGCGCAGCCCTGGCTGAGGTGCGCAAGATCTGCCACCTCCGCCTGGAGGACATCCTGCGGTCTCCGGAGGACCCAGCCAAACTGTAGCACTCTAGCGGGGCGGGAGTAGGAGGGGGAGAAGGGGGGCGGTGACAGTGGGAGGAGGGCAACGGAGGAGCCTAACTTCAAGGTAGAAAATAACCTTGTCCAGGTGCCTATCCAAAAACAGGCTGCGAACTCACAGGTGAAGTGTGCGCATCATGAACTGAATTGGGCAGTCGAGGCAACTACCCAGACACGTCCAACTCTCCAATTCAATGGGTCACAGTAGCCTGAAATTTAGGTGGGCTTTGCAAGGAATTAGCCAGTTTATTAATAATGCGTGGAGACAAGAGGCAGCATGGTGTAGTGGAGAACTGGTCTTAGCGTCAAGAAGACCTCTGTTGAAGTCTCAAACATTTCTATCTATAGATATCTATCTCAAACACCTCTATGCATCCCTGACTGTGTGACCCTGGGCAAGTCATTAACCTCTCTATAAGACTATAAATCGCAGAGTAATTGCTGATCTGCATTGACAGACATTTCTCTCACTGTGGGTTCTCTACCTTAATGAAATTAAAAGTCTGGACAGTTTTTAAAAGTACCAGAAATAGTTATATAGTTCCTTTAATAAAAAGCGTTTTCCTTAAGAAAAACCATGCAAGGTAGATGGTAGACATTTGTTACTTTTTTTTTTTTTAACAGATGAGCAAGCTGATGGTCAGTGAGTTTGAGCCACACAGTTAAGGGGGGGGAGGCAACGAGGCGGATGAAGTTATCTCAATTCTTCTTCTCTTTGAGCTTGTTGACACAAGACCCCATGGATTCTTAAGCTCTTATCTTACTACGTATTTTCCAACCTGCTCCCAGTAATCCTGGTGGAAAAGGGAGGCTTTTTTTTCACACCCTTGTTCATTTGTTTTTTCTTCCTCCTCTCAGACTTGCTATACACTAGGTGTTTGCATTTGAGGGGAAATTTTGCTCTTTCCTTAGGCATCCAACAACAACTGCTTTAACAGAAAAGGGCTTGCTCGTGGATGGTGAGGGAGTGCTTAGAGTACTATTTCAGAGGATGGAGGAATAATGATGAGAGAGAAGTGGGCTAGAAGGAATAGCTGCCCTGAAGACTTGGGGGAAGGGAACTCCTGGGAGAACTACAGAAAGCCTTTGGGCTTAGTCGCTTTAGAGAGGCTTCTCTTCAAGAATGGCTACTAGTTCAAGAGCTTGGTGGATCTTGGGTATCTGAGTTGTGTGGTTTCTGTATGTCGGAGTAAGGAACCAGCCGCTTCTAAGCCATTGTTCAAGGATAGGGGAATACAGGACTAGCTACCACAGTCACACTATTGAACCTTTCTTCTGCTGTGCTCTAAAACACCAAATGAAATCAATCATTCAATGATTTTTATTGAGTTTACAAGATAGTGAGCTGGGCTTTGTTGGGATACATTTTTAACATCTGCCCGAAGCCACACAGCTAAGATCCTCAAGGATCTTGCAATCTAGATAATATAAAGAAATTGTTCTCCAGAAAAGTATATATTGGCAGACCAAGTGACTCTCCTAAATTAGCCATTTTCGAATGCTGATTGCTCTCCGGGGATTTGCTGCATCTAGAACTAGAATAAAAAGGAATTCATCAAACATTATGAACAATTAATGTGTTACCCACTAGGTGTTTTATTCTTCCTGCTCTTCAGTCAGTCACCAAATATTTATTAAGTACCTATTAGTTGTCTAGCACTGTGCTAACATGCCTGGCAAAGACAATGTCTGGGGGGTGGCATCGAGGAAGTATAAACTCCAATGTGGCTGATGTGCCTTACATTCATGCCTGAGCTGGGCTTTGTTAGAAATGGACCAGAAACTTGGAAGAAAGGCAAGGCAAGGTAGAGTTTACTCCAACCATAGGCCCAGGAGGTGAAAGACATTTAATGGTCACAACATCATTGGAAATTTTAACCTATTCTTTGACTACTCCCCAAATAACAATATCCCATAACTCACATTTGTTTCTGATCTAATTGGTTGATTCCTAATTCAGGAATTTGTTTTTACTTGATTATGCATATTTTACAAGGATTTTTATTTTCTTTTTCAATTTTGGGGAGGAGTTGAGACTGAGAGAAAATTGTTTTTTGTTAGTTGGGGAAAAAATAAAATTATATCTCATTTAAAATCTTCAAAACCCTGTGAGAGAGGGAGGTCAACTATTAGTTTCTCAGTTTGGGGGCCCAGTCTCAGGTTCAGTGGGTTGCCCAAAGTCACTTACCTAGTAAGTAACAGAGCTAGGGCTTCAATTCAAGAAAATCCAGTTCAGTACTCTTTCCACAATATCGTATTTGTAGGCAGGTGAGTTGGAAGGTTGTCTTCCTTTCTAAGCTCTCTGAAAATTGAAGTAGCTATGAGTGTGCATAACTTTCCCCTTACATTGGAGCCCCATCTTAGAACTGTAAGAGTAGGCAGTGAGACTAGTTATTTCCAGCCATATCACATATGGACCTAACCTTCATAGGGGTTGGATATTCCAGAGGCCAGGGCTTTACAGTGGCTTTCTACAAGACAACCTGACAGGTGAACAGCTGCCTCCAAAGCCTGAAGGGGATTCAATTGACCAGTTTTAAATTTGGGGGGTTGGGAGTTTGAAACCATTGCCCCATGTTGTATAAGGAAATTGATTCATACCTATTAATATTATTTGAAAGCCTAACCACTATATGAAAAATTCTCTATTTTCCTTTTTTTGGCTTTCAAAATAAGATGCAAATGATAGGATTCAAGCCAAAACTTCTGCACTCCTCCCCCTTCCCTTTTGAAAGCATGGGTATTGCACGAATCTGGACCTTTCAAGGACCCAACCCAGGGTTTCCAATGACCTTTCATGAGTTCAAAGCCCATCTAGAGGAAATTGTTTATTCATGTTGACACCCCCACCCCAGTAGAACAGAAGCTGAATCCATTCCTCTCAGAGGAACTAAGAAACTCGGGAGACAATAATGCCTACTCTTGTCCCAGGGATTGGGATCTTCTCATCCTGGAGGTTACCCAGCCGAGAGGTAACTCAGACAGAGCAAAGCCAGGTGAGTGAGGCCGGCAGAGTAGGCACTTAAACCCTATTCCTGGGCGTCACCCTCCTGGTTGCAACACAACGGCTTCGGCTTAAAGAATCACAGGAAAGTGTATCTGTGAAAAGCTTAGATACTAGACAAATTCTCTCATTACCTTACCTCCCCATCTCTCCCTCCCCACTAACTCCTCCATCTCTTAGAAGAAATTGAGACTATTTCTCTCTTGTTCTTGCTGGAGGTGCCAAACACTGAAAATAGTCTCTGATGACTAAGGCCATATTCCTATAAAACACTTTCTTGCTTGGATCCCAAAGTCCCCCTGGTATAGTCCCATCATGTATGTTCTGCTGGTATCTGTTTTTATGATGCTTTCCCTTATCTCTGTTTTTGTGTATGTAGTATGCACAAGGACTGGTATACCACGCGCTAAATAAATGAAAAATCAATTAAGCAAAACAATCACAAGAATAATAATACCAATCGCAATGTCTTTGTCACCTAGCTAAGAGAATCTTAACTGAGCATATGGGACTTTAATCATTTGATTCATTCGTTAAAAATAATCTATAGGAGAATCATCTATGGGGGGAAAATTGATAATGCTGGTGGGACTGTGACAGTAGGGAGTGGGGGAGAAGAGCTGGTTTTATTTTTCCTTTCCATTTTGCTACCTGGCAAAGTCCTCTCCCTCTCCCTAAGCCTGGACTTTCCCATGCTTTAACCTGAAGAGGGATCAGAACTGATCAAGACAGAGACTGATGAAGGTTCACCTCTGCTCTGAAATCAAACAATTAATTAAAAAAGGGGGTATGGCTAGATAATTCTTAAGGCCCCTTCCAAGTCCAGGTCATAAGGCTCTATGATCCTATTCAGCGCACAAAGGATACCAAGTAAAGGGAACTCAGAATAGGAAAAAATACCAGTTTGGGAGGTTTAAAAGCAAAATATTGCACTTACATGCTGGCAGGTAACCAGCAAAGTAAAAGATGAGATAGCTTTGGAGTGGCCCTCAGCTCCCTCTCCTCCCATATGATTTCATTCACATATTTCAGACTTAGTTCCCAAAAGTACTAGTATATCATGTTCATATGATACAAATTAATGAGTTCTTTTGAAAGATGACTATTGTTCAGCTGCAAATCAGAAACATGCTTCCTCTGTAGAGAAGACATTGCATAAAGACCAGGAGGCAAACCCAAATGCCCACTGGCTCTAGATTTAGCATTCTTCAATAAACCCTAGTTAACTGCAGTTACACGGTACCTCCGAGAATCCATGAGAAAGGGTTAGCAAGTTTGGAGAAGAGAATGGTACATAGTCTACGCTTTCTAAGAGCAAACCTAGACTGTATTGGCAAAATGATTCTGTGAAGGTTCAAAGTGCTACATGTAGTGTCTTTCATTGTGGCAAAGAAAGGTTCTCAACAGATGTGATTTTTTTTTTGAGACCTCTTAGTGAAGGGAAGAGAAAGAAAGGGAATAAGCATTTACATAGCACCAAGTATGTACCAGGCACTGTGCTAAGTGCTTTCTTACAAATATTATCTCACTTGATTCTTACAGCAACCTTTTGATGTAGGTGCTATTATTTACATTTTATATTGGTTGAAACTGAGGCAAGCACAGCACCATTGCATCATCAGCTGCATCTAATCAGAAAAATTGTTGATCAAAAAGTGTAGAAGAAAGATTATTGAAAGTAGAAACAAGAGGAATAACATTTCCATATCTTAAACTATATTATAAAGCAGTAATAGTACTAGTTAAAAAAATAGAAAAACGGATGAATGTAATAGATTAAACATGGAAAAACATGGAAAAAAAAGAGATAATTTCCCTCAATAGCTTAGTATACTATAAACCCTAAAACATAAATTGCCTAAGAAAGAATTCCTTACTTGAACAGAATTATGAGAAAAATTGGAATGTAGTCTGTCAGAAACTAAATTTAGACCAACATCTTACACCACATATCATAATAAACTAAAATAGATATGTAACTTGAATATTAGAGGTTATCCCATTTTTTTAATTAGAAAAGAACCAAACCAGGTATCATTCACAGCTCTGGCTTAAAGATTTCTTCTTAACCAAACAAGGGATAGTGGTGATTATAATAGATAAAATAGATGATTTAAATTACAAAAAACTGAAAGCTTTTGAGCAAGACAAAATTAATGCAACTAGGATAAAGAGGAAGGCTGTGAACTGAAAAAAAATCTTTGTATCTAATATCTCTGATAAAAGTCTTATGTCTAAGATATATATAGGCAGCTAGAAGAAATATATAAGAATGAAAACTATTTCTCAATAGATAAGTGGCCATAGTGTATGGACAAAGAAAATAATTATGAACCATTAATAACCATATGAAAGAACACTCCAAGAAGCTAATTATCTCACACTCATCAAATTGATGGCTATTTCAGCCATTTGGCGGTAAAACTGAACACTTCAGCTTTAGATGTGGATGTTCCTCTCACCAGCCCCCACCACAAGTAGAGAAGACAAACTATAGAAGGAATGCAGTTAGTGGTGCAGCAGATTGAATACTGGGCCTGGGGTCAGAGTTCAAATCCAGCCCCAGACACCTGCTAGCTGTGTGACCCTAGGCGAGTCACTTAACCTCTCTATGTCTCAGTTTCCTCAACTGTAAAATGGGAATAATAATGGCACCTACTTAACAGGGTTGTTGTGAGGATCAAACAGGTTTATAAAGGCATTTAGCCAAGTGCCCAGCATGTAGTAGGTGCTATATAAATGCTTATTCCCTTCCCCATTTGCTGGGGGTGGGGGAGGTGGAGGGACATTTTTCATCCTTGGTACGTCTGCTTTCCTGTAAATCAAATGAGGGCAGATGTGTGCAGTTGAGGCTTTTTCCTATTGTTCCTAGATAATATCAAATCTGTTTCCCTTGAAGCCTAATGCATGTGGGCAGGTGGTGGGCTTAGGGGAGACAGCACTGGGAAAGAACAGTTATATTGATCCTGTTGATGTACATTGTTAAACAGATCTGGGTTCTCCTAGTGAATGGGGGTTGAGTTTTCGTTGTTGTTGGATTATAGATTATTGCTGCTTAATAGACCTATGCTAATTTTGATTGAGGGAGCTTTCCAACAGAGCAGTGCTTGGAAACTAATCTCAAAGTGAAGTGAAGATTTGGCAATTATTTTTCAATACTCTCAAGGCTAATATGGATAATTCAGAGAGCCTTCTTTTTCTTTTCTTTTTTTAATTTTGTGGGCCAATTAAGAAAATGCAGACTATGGGTTGCTTTGATGGGCATGGAAGTAGAGACTAAATTATACAGATAATTAATTGTGCTTATCTAAATTTAGGCTTAAAAATATTTCCAACTTAAGCTCTAATCTTAAATAGGTGGCAGAGACATCACACTCTCCCTCCCTGTGCTTGGGGAGCTACAATTGCTATGAGGATCAGGGGTCTGGGAGAACAGGCACAAACATTATAGACCTTTGGAGCTGTGGAGGCCCAGCTGAGTCAATGATCTGTGGATTCAAGGAGTGTCTCATCTCCCTTCTGGGAACACTACCTCCCCATTCTCTTCCCTCCCCCTTCCACTGTGTGCCCCCCAAATACCTCCACCTACGATTTGAAGAACCAGAACCTCAAAAGTGGATAACTCTCATTACCAAAAGCCTTTTGGGCACTTGAAATGTTAGGACCTAGCAGAAGTCACTTATAAAAAAAAAAACAACTCTTTGGAAACAGATATCAACCATCAACATTTTATCTGGATCCCCATCCCTACCATCTGTGTTAGGAATGAAAACTGTGCCTCCATTTCTCTCCACCCTGAATTCCTCCACCATCTCTAACATTACTAATGCCTCCTCTTGGCTTCAATCTCCTCCAGACTTCTGTAAGTTAATGTGACCTCAACTTAACTCTGCCCCTTTTTTCCTTTGGAAGTAAGTTGTTTGGGGGTGTCCCCTTCCATTCAAACTCTTCATTATACAATGGGGGAAGGAAATAGAGTTCTTTTGATTGAGTTAATGTGGCGCATCGTTTTCCAGATTGTATTGGCAAGCCCTGTAATGTTTTGTCCTTAAAAATATTAAACGTGAAATTATGTATATATCAAGGATGCTTACTCTGTGAACCTGTGAATCATACAGCCCATGGGATTTTCTTGGCAAAGATACCAGAGTGGTTTGCCATTTTCTTTTCCAGTGGATTAAGGCAAAAAGAGGCTGTGCCCAGGGTCACACAGCTAGTGTCTGAGGCCATGTCTTTGGGACTTCAGGCCCAGTGCTCTATCTGCTGAGCCACCTAGCTGCCTAAGGATGCTTATTATCTGAAGTATTTTTTCAAAAAGAAAAAAAGGCTTCATTTCCTTGGTTTTGCACAAAAATTTCACTACCACTACCTCTCCTGGAAACCGCACCCCGCATTCTATTCCCTTCCTCAATCTCCTTCCCTCGCTCCCCAAGTATTTATGGCATCCACCTATATATTGCAAGACCAAAAATGTTTCAGGGCCAAATTCGTTTATTGAACATCCGACTAAGTGGAGAAGGAAATTTAAAGACAAAAAATACATAAGAGGAAGCCAGGTAACTCCTTTCAGTTTGAGCGTGAGCTAATGGTCCCAGGAATAAGAAGTTTTAGATTTTGGAGGTCCCTAGGAATTATCTAAGAAGCTTTAGATTGCAGCATCCATCAGGATCAGAGAAGTCATGATTCTGGAAAAGTAGGGTCTTTGCATCTAAGAGCTCAGGTTTGATATATTGTTGCCTTCTCCATGATGTCTACCAAAACACCTGCAGGTAAGGAAAAATCGGGTGTGAGGGAGTGGCGGTGTAGAAGTCCGGAGAGCCCAAAGTATGAAAAATCCAGGAAAGAGAATCAATCTCCAACCTTTCTGTTGCAGTCGAGGATAGCAGGATTTGCCTGAAAAACAAAACCAAAAAATTTTTCACCTTTCCTGCCCAGCCACACTTCTACTTCTTCTCTACCTTCATCCCTAGTCTATCTTTTGGGTCTTAGAAACTGAGGACCCTAAAATTGTCTCTGGAGATCCAGTTCGTTGTCGGAGAAACGGTTTTCCAGAAAATTTTTGGAGCGGGGACAAGAAAGACATTTCTTAGCTTCTAAGAAACGGGACTCGACTGAAAAAGGACACTAGATTGTCTAGAGATCATTGACTTCCTCCAACACTCTTCTCTCCTCACCTCCCCCCTCGGCACCTAGCCCTTAGGTATTAAGCTGTCAGAGAGACATCTCCTTCATGCTAAGGGGATTATTTGAAATGGACATAACTTCTAGACCAGCGGGTCGATGTATAGTTTCTGAAAAGATTCGTTTTGCTTAAGAATTCACTTCTGTGGAGTGACTCTTCCCCACATCCCCACCGCAAGTGTATAGTGCTAGTTTCCCTGCCCCCATACTCTCCACTTTTTTGGGTCTTCATTTCGGATGGGGAGAAGGAAGCCCTCTTTCCGGAATGGAGAGCCCCTAGCCTCATGAGCTCCGACTGAGAAGCCCCAGCAATTAGACTGCGGCCTGGAGAAGGGGCCATAAAAACGCAGGAAGCTTTCCCCAATAAACCCGATTGTTTTCAAAGAATGTCCTGGATTCCAAAGAAGAGCCCTCCGCCCTCTGCCCGGGCCCGGGGTGGACAGCGCGGATGGGCAGGGGGTCCGAACAGCAGAGAGATTGTGTCCAGGGGGAAGAAAAAGAAAGGAAGAAAGGTGTTTGCTAGATCAAAAGTCTGCAAAATGTACCATCTATTTCTTTCCCCATCCCAGCCAGAAGCAGTGCCTTTTACCTTCCAGTTTATCCTTAACTCCATTACCTCTCATTCGGACTCTTATTTAGAATCGGTTGAAACACTTACTACAAAGCTTCCTTTTCAATGACTTTGGATATAAGGGAAGACGGAAATGCAGCAAAATACTATTTTCTGACCGCATTTGTATCACCACATTTATCAGGGAATGAGTTGGGATAGTTTGGGTCACGGACAGCCGGCTCATTTTTCCTACGTTGGGACTAGTTGGAACAAAAATTTTGAGATGGGTGAGCTTTCTGCGGGAGAAGAACTCTTAATACTTTTGGAATACTATTTCCTCCTTTCTGAGTGGAAAGGTGAGGTGAAATGAGGGCTAGGAGCTCTAATATTAAATTAGGAGGTGTAGTCGCTAGAATCCTGGGCTAGGCGATAGAAGACCCGGGTTCTAGTCTCCGCTCCACCATGAAACTTACATGATCCTGGACCAGAAGCTTTGGGCCTCAATTACCTGGTCTGTAAAATATATGACAACTGATGTCTTCTACTTCGAAGGATAGTTTTAAGGCCTCAAACGAGATAAAGTACGGATCAGAGTTTTAGAAAGTAAAGACTAAGGCTCTTAAAATTGTCTAAGCTGATCTAATAAAGAAGAACGTACAAATGCTTCACTCTCAGTTTCGGAGACAGAAGTTCTAGTGAAATCTAGTGAAATCAAATCAGGTTTGGAAACCCTGTAGGTGGCTGCAATAAGATTCTCTTTAACGCTGCCCGGGGGTTCTATAATAGGAGTGAGCGCCCATCAATCGAAATCATCTCCAACGAATACGAATTCCCAGCCAAGATGCATGCAATTTCCGTCCCCAGTAGGTTGTTTCCAGGACCAGCCAATGACACTAGCTAACCAGTTCAGTACTCCAGGCAACAGCAGGAGGTCCAAGCAGGATCATCTTCTTTTCAATTTTCAGTTCTCCACGGCTCGGAGAAAATTTCTCCATAGGCTTAGGGGCTGGGAGTGGAGAGATGGAGAGGAGAGGGTGCCTTGGGGAAAATGTTCATTTTGCCTCAGGGAAGGTTTTTGAATACTTAAAAAGTCAATTCTACTAAGAAGATGGTTGCATCTTTTTTTTTTTAAATAACAGAAACCACATTCTCTTGGGATTTTGTAGCAATATAAAAATCCCAAACCGGAAACCTGAATGATCTAAAGAATAAAATCGTTTCAGTCTACGAGAATCTTACACATACAAGCTTGACTTGGAGAGGAGACGTAGCCCAGAGCCAGAACCATGATTTATCTCGTGCCACCAGCGAGTCATTTTCTTGAGCTGGAAAATAAATAGTATAGTAGTGACAGTTTTCTGCGGGCGTATGTCGCCTTTGCTAGAAGCACAGGCTGGCTCCAAAGAAAAGATTCTCCCTTGGTATGTCACTTTTAGTTGCTCAGGGTACCTTGGCCACTATCAGAAGGGAATAAGAAAGGAATCATCAAAGAAATGCTTCCACCCACACCCACCCCCAGTTTTTTTAAGGGCAGAAAGTTTATTCGCCACCCTTGGTGCATAAACAGGAACGCTTTAGCCTCCAAGCCTAGATCCCAGACTCCCACCAAGATATTTCCCTCTCTCCCTCCCTCTCTTTTGCAACCCTCTTGATTTAATTCTTTGAACCTGTGATTGGAGGTTAAAGTGCACCAGGTTGGAAGGAGGAAGCTCTTAAACAATAAAGGTTTGAATATTTAGCTGTGATCTGGTCGCTGCCCTCTCCTAGCTCCCTCCTTATCTTTTTAAATGCAAATCTTGTTTAGGGGGGTAGAATGCTATATGCGCCCTGCGCCTCGACGTCTCCTGCCATTGGTGTCTGTGCCATTACTAATAGAGTCTTGTAAACACTCGTTAATCACGTAAGTGCTTCAGCCCGGGAACTCTACTTGCTAGTCGCAGGAACTTCTCCGACTCGGCAGCCAAGTTTCTCCTACTTCGCTGGGGAGAAACTCAAGGAGGAGCTGAGTGTGGCTGAGGCGCGACCAACCACCCCCCCCTACTCCACCCTTTCCCTTCCCCACTCCCTTTTCCCTTCCCTTCCCTCCCCACTCCCAACCTCCAGCATCCCCACCCAGGCAGCATGGTGAGATCTGCTCTGGAGTTCCTGCCACCATGTACGTGAGCTACCTATTGGATAAGGACATGAGCATGTACCCCAGCTCCGTGCGCCATTCTGGCGGGCTCAATTTGGCGCCGCAGAACTTCGTCAGCCCCCCTCAGTACCCGGACTACGGAGGTTACCACGTGGCGGCTGCGAACTTGGACAGCGCCCAGTCCCCCGGCCCCTCTTGGCCCTCTCCTTACGGCGCTCCACTCCGGGAGGACTGGAATGGCTACGCGCCGGGAGCTACCGCTACAGCCAATTCAGTGGCGCACGGTCTCAATGGGGGTTCCCCTGCCGCGGCTATGGGATACAGCAGCCCGGCCGATTACCACTCACATCACCACCCGCACCACCACCCTCACCATCCAGGCACTGCACCCTCCTGCGCCTCCGGGCTACTGCAAACACTCAACTCCGGGCCGCCCGTGGCAGCTGCGGCTGAACAGCTCTCTCCTGGAGGCCAGCGGCGCAACCTGTGTGAGTGGATGCGGAAACCGACGCAGCCCTCCCTGGGCGGCCAGGGTAAGCTGTAAGCTGCGCGGGGCTAGGGGACCAGGACCTCTGAAAGTGGAGAGAGGGGTAAAGCCCGCAGGAAGTCAAGCTGCAGGGACGGTTACGCGCCCCCCAGAGCTCCAGGAGCCTGTAAGGCTGGAGCGCTGGGGGGCGTCTATAGGATCTCAAGCCCCCAAGACTTGGGGGAGAGATGGAAACGGGGAACAAATCTCGAGTCTTCTAGTCTCAGGACCGGGAGTGGGTGACGTGTAATAAGTTTACCTGTGGCATGCCGAGAACGGGTCGGGAAAAAATCCAGGGACCAAAGTAAAGAATGATTAGGGAAATGAACCTTTTTTTTTTTCCTGACTCGGTAGTCCCGTATTGTGCTCCCTCCTTCCAGACTTGGAGAAGAGGAGTAGGAGCAGAGGCGTCTAAAGGTAAAGCTAGAGTCTTGGTGAACTCTGAATAGCTGTTTTAAGTATAGAATTGCCCACGGCCTCTGTTTCCCACTGTTGTGGTTTTTTCCCCCGATTCCTTAGCCGCTGAATCCTTTTTCCCCTTCCCTCCTTCACCACCATATTCTCTAGGATCACAGATTTAAAGCTGGTAGCGACCTTAAAAGCCTTCTAATCCAACTGCCTCATTTTACACTTGCAGCCACTCGGTCCGAGAGAGGTTGGTTATGTGACTCGCCCAACATCATACAAGTAGTAAATGGCACAACAGGGATTTGAACACAGGACCTCAGGTTCCAAATTGAATTTGAGTTCCTCCTCACGTTCCTGGGAATGTAGAATGATTGGTACTCTGGCTGGGGCGGGGGCGGGGTGGTGAATACTGGGCCTGTTTCTCTATATGTGGTTCAAGGCTAGGAGTTAAGCCTCCAGTATGTGAGGGAAGTAGGGGGACTCTGCTCTGTAGCTGCAGACTGAGAGCCCCGCCCTGGCTCGGGTAAGGTCCAGAGGAGCAAGGGGGGGGGGAGGGCTCAGCTTGTCCTGTTCTTTGAACCTTTGTTCTGAGGTGCTGGTGGGGGGAAGGGGAAGCGCGGAGGTTAGAGTGAAGAGGCTTTCACTTCTAAAGCAAAAGAGGGATGGAGTCCTCAGGTGGGGTAGTGTCAGGACAGAGGAAACTATTGCCAATTACTCCTTTCTCCAGAGTTTGTTCTTTGGCGATTTGGCTTTGGGAGGGGAAGCGGGATAAGAGTGTAGGAGGAAGGCTCAGTGACCTTTTCTTAAATGTTTTCTTCGGAGACCCATTCCTCTTCCTCTTCTCACCTATAATCGGAGTGGCAGCCACTTAGATTTTTATAACCAATTACTGCCATATAAATCATTGGTAGCCGTCGCTGAGCATTGGTTTCTGAATCATTGGACACATACTTCAACGAACAAAACACTTCCCTGAAAGCCTAGATTGGAAAGACTAGTTGAGAAATTTAACTCGTGGGGGGGGGGCACGCGGGCGACCCAGAGCCCAGAGTAATTAATTGTTGTGGAATCCTATTTGACCACCTTTTTTAGAATTCCAAAGGTGAGAAGACCTTTGCCAAAACTTGACTGAGACGTGACTTTAAGGAGTTGAAGGCCATCTCCTTGTATATCCTGGGGAGATTGGGGGGTGGGGGGTGGAGAAGGGAAACTGCGGGAGCTGGGACTGCCCAGGGTCACTGGAGGAGAATACTGTGAAGTCCTGCGTTTAGGTGGCAAGGACACCGCCCGGCGCCTAGCCTCCCTTGTGATGTTAATGTCTCCGGAGCCCCTAGCCTGCAAGTCCAGTGGCCCGCTCCTCTGCTGAGCTTCATCTGTCAAAGCTCGGGGGAGGGGGCTGGTTGCCGGCTTGCTTTGATATACACCTTCCCAGCTCTGCCATTGTCCCTTTTACTGTCCGGAAAAAGGGTGGTGACTTTTCGCAGTCAATAATGAATTCTGACATGTCCATCTCACCCTCAGGACCTCCCCTCCCCCCTAATCTTCCCACCCTGGTTCTCAGGGAGTGCGGGGCTGCCCTGAATACAGACTCGCAGTGAAGAGAAGGGAGAATGGAGAGAAAAGAGGAGAAAAGGGGTCCATGGTTAGCTGCAGTATGCATAAGCCACCGCTGCTTCCCCTGACCTGGAACCCAGTCTGTAAAGCGGAAGACCCTTGGTTCCTGGAGTAGTCCACCACACAGGCTCCCAGGAATGGAATTGGTTCTCGTAGCTGTCAAAGCAAATGGGCGTGCTCCCAGGTCTTGGGTTTCTGGGGGTTCCCGAGCCCTGTTTTCCTGCTCTCAGAAGGTGCGGGTGGATGGTGTAGTCTCTATTCACATGCAGCCTCCAGAACCCGTGTTTATGTTAATATGCACGGTGGGGGTAAGGGATGAAAGCCCTCGCCGCCATTTGTTCAGCAGTGGTAATTCAAACAGAATGCAGTTGTTATTAAGGCATTGAAAGGGCTTTTCTTTGATAAGATCGCCCTGTTCTGCATTGTTTGTGCTGGTGTTCCCCTTTCTTCGGCCCGCGGAGTTCTCTCTGATCAATCCTGTATCTTCCCAGGACGCTTTTGTTGTGGTTTGCAAAGGGTTTTACCTGACCAAAGTCAGCCTCCAGGCCATTAAACACCTACAGGCAGATCCTGGGGACCATTTAGATCTTCCTCGTGGACTGGGAGAGCTACCGAACCTGTTCCTCAGGGAACGGATCTGGGAGAAAAGTCTTGAGAAGTGGGGCAAGTGAGACAGATGACATCTGCTAAGGGGATAAGGCAGAAATCAAGAGAGGGCTGGTTTGGGACAACTACTTCGGTATCATCATCCTCTCTATTTGTCATGGCCCTTAAGGGAAACAATCATTCTGAGATTAAATATGTTGACTCAGGCCAATAAGCACAGATCGCCTTTCGGGATAACTCACTTTGCAGCAGAAAGAAAAGAAGAGGGTAGAGACTATAAGCTGGGCTAAAAAGCAGTCTGCTTAGGGTAAAAATATCCCATTGGGAGTTCTTATATCAGGCGGGATACCTGGTTTTAGTTTCTATAAATTGATTCATTTCTCAAAGTCAAGGTGAATATTAGAGCATTAGGGTGTTTTCTGGCTGGTAGGGGTCAGTTGTAAGGGTGGAATCTGGAGGAAGGTATACTAAGGTTTGTTTTTTTTCTTTCCCCCTATGTACACCAGCCTCCCATTTATTAAAGTGGGCAACCTCAATAAAAGTAAAACCAAGCCCAGTGGTTGTCCAATAGAGACTGGACCTCCTAACAATCCCAGCTTCACTGAACCTCGAAGGAGCTCTTTTCCTGAATTCTACAGTGGAGTTGTTAATTGTGACATTTCCTAAAATTTGTTTACCTCATGTTTGCTTTTTTTTCTTAGTGAAAATGTACTCCCTTTGTTCTTCCTCCTCCCCCACTCCCAGAGAGGGTGGCACTATTTTTCCTTTGTGTGTGAGTAGTTTTGGTTTAACTTCACTTTTTTAATTAAAAAAAAACACACACATCTTGAGAGTTGGTTTAGTTCTCCTGTGGACTATATCTCCTTAGGGCTTCTCCTGCCACTTTGTCAGATTCTGCTAAGCTGGCTTATTCAAGCGGCCCCACGCATCGGTTGAGGAAGAGAAATGGCCTCCTGGTTAAAGAGATTTGTCATTATACTTTGACTGATGGGCTCTGGCCTAGTTTTCCTGTCCTGACTTTTCCTTCCCCTGCAGTTAAAACCAGGACGAAAGACAAATACCGAGTCGTGTACACCGACCACCAGCGGCTGGAGCTGGAGAAAGAATTTCACTATAGCCGATATATCACCATCCGAAGGAAAGCGGAGCTGGCTGCCACACTGGGACTATCTGAGAGACAGGTGGGTGCCCTTCTCCTAGTGGAAGTGATGGTGCAGTTCTGAGACCGAGGCAGGATAAGAAAGTCAAGTTCTGGGTGCTCCCAGTGAACTAAGTGGGACTAGCAAGACGGGAAGGGGTAGAAGATCAAAGTTTCGTTCTGGCCTTTGTATTTCTTGCTCCACCCCTCCCTACCCCCACCTTCCTTTTCTTTTGCATTGATCACATGTTTTTGTATGGGAAGGGGAAATGTGAGAAGGAAGGTTCTCAATTTGAATAGGAATTCAACCCTGAATTTATTGAGAGCAAGATGTACATATATGTGTTTATAATACCTATATATGTCTATGTATATATAGTCATGTGTGTATATGTACACATATATGTATATGTGTGTATATACACACACATATACATATATACACACATGCAGCATTGTGTTAGACACAGATAGAAAATTACAAAGAAATTTAAGATATAGCTCCTGCCCTCCAGATGCTTACTTACAGTCTGGTAAAAGACTGAGCCTTAGACACATGAAACCACTATGCATCATCAAATACCAGAAAGATGGCCTTATTTAGCACAAAAAAGTCACATTTGGAATTTCAAACTCACATTCCATAAGATTTCCAGTCCTAGGATGGGAGTTGTATGTAGTTTACTTTCCCTTGAGGGCCTAAAATTGCCTTTTAAAATGCATCCAGAGGCTGGATTGGTCCTTTGTAGGCATGAGCCTTATGCCTTTCCAAGTTTTGAATCAATTCTGGTGAAAATTTTGAGAAAGTTTGCTTTGGTAGAAAGACAAATAAGTGTGAGAAGAGTCTGGGAGAAGAGGAGAAATGCTTTTAATTGTGACTCAGCTGGGTTTAGAAACATTTCCAGGAAACTGTTGGGAATGGAGAAATCTTCCAAGGGTAAATTTGGAGTTCCAGAACCGTACTTCACTTTAACCACTGTGAGATGTGCATGGGAGATACAAACTCTGGGGATCCTGCTGTGGTTCTCTCATTCTCACACTGCCCTTCTCATTTCTCTTTTCTCCCTCCCCAATTTTCAGGTTAAAATCTGGTTTCAAAACCGAAGAGCCAAGGAAAGAAAAATTAATAAGAAGAAATTGCAGCAGCAACAGCAGCAGCAACCGCCTCCACCTCAGTCACAATCCCAGCCTGGTGCTTTGAGAAGTGGCCCAGAGCCCCTAAGTCCAGTGGCCTCCCTGCAGGGCTCAGCACCAGGGTCTGTCCCTGGAGTTCTGGGGCCTGCTGGAGGAGTGTTGGCCCCCACTATCACACAATGACCCCACATTGTGTGTGAGATAGCCACAAGACTGGAGTGGTTCCAGGCTGGGTATGGGAAGAAGTGCTGGGAAGGACTGGCTTCTGACCTAACTGGGAGATCAGTACCATCCCCATTGTAACACCCACCTACCTGTCTGTCCTCCCAAGTGAAAAAGGGACCCAGAATAAGTGGGCTGGGGAATCCCATAGAAGTTAGCCTCTGATATCTGACTTTTCATGACTCCTTCCATTCTGGGGAAGCAAGCACTGGGCACCAAGACTCCATGGTGTTGGCAAAGCTGAATAGACATTGCTTTTGGCCTTTTCTCTCTGCTCCTTAGCACCTTCAGCTTCCAAAATCTAAAGGCTTCACCCGCAACAGGGAGCTGAGCAGATCCAGTGGACCGAAAGTGTTTGGTGCCATTCGTGACTTCTCTCACTTCCTCCCAGGACAAGGAGGCCCATTTGTCCTGGGTCAGAAGATTTGAACTCAGAAACCAGAGCAGAGAAAGACAGAAAATTGTACCTTAGAAGGCAGCTGAACCCAAAGTGATTGGTGTTTCCTTCCTCCTCATTCCCTCCCTACACCAAAACAGGGAGGGAACAGTTGTCAGGGGTATTCTGGGCTCCAGACCTTGGGAGAAAACACAGCCTGGAGAACTGGACATTGTTTAGAAAGCCTGTCACCCTCACCTCTCCAGGCTGAATGTATGTTTGGTGTCATAAATGCCAGAGCTAACCTGGGTTTCCTGTCGTTTTCACAAACTTGAGGCTGGCTGGCCTAGAGATTTCTTTGTTGTTATTGCTGTTCCGGAGTTGTTGCTTTTTCACACATGGGAGCCCCTACCACGCTATGCTAAAGTTATTCTGGATTGAGGAGGGGGACGAGAAGTGATATGATAGGAGGGAATGGGGAAAGGGGGGGAGGGTGGAGAAAGGGAAAGAACGCTGAAACACATTTGAATATATTCTTAAAAAAAGAAAAAAAGGGAGATAAATGAGCTTGCCAGACTTCAGACTCCTATTTATCTGCCTGAGATTTTATCTGGAGTTATCTTAAAAAAAAAATCAAACATCTTCACTCCAGTCATGAGCTAAAGCTGGAAGCATCAGGGGATTACATGGCTGGCCTCACAGTTTCCTGGAGGGTCAGCTTTAGGGAGCAGATCTTGTGTCCTCATTGCCATGCAAAGCCTTCTCCCCACCTGCGGAATTTGTTTCTAACCCTAAGTCTTGGGGCAAAATGCATTTGAATTATCAGCTGCTCTGTCCCAGATCTTTGGAGCTATCTGGGGCCACCCCTGCCCGAGGAAAGAGACCCAACCTGGGCCGACCTCAAGCTTAGTCAACTTCCCAGTCCACTCGGCAGGTCCTTTTATCGGCGACCACCCGTGTCCATTCTCTGCAGGTCTCTCACAAACCAGTTATCTGAAAGAAAAACATCGGCTGAAATGCAAAATTTTCACTTTTATCCTGCTAAATACACAGAGTTTCCCACAAATCGTCATCACCAGTCTTACTGGTAGTTTCAAGGCTCTAGAGCTTTCCCTCTTTTCCATCTCCTCCCTTTTGTGTTTCTTTCCTCCCTCTCTCCGATGAATTCAAAGGTATGCATCGGAAAGGCCTTTCATAATCCTAGTTTATTTTCCCGGCTCTCCCTTCCGCGGCTGGAGAAGTTGAGTCCTTTGCCTAGACAGGCGCCAGATTTGGGTGAAGGGCCTTCAGAGGGGGCCTGCTGCTGCCGGTAGCAACCACCCAGCACTTCACCTCCAGGGCGGGGAGACTGGGAACCGCATTCCCGCCTGGATGAATTTCAAACCTCTATCTGTAATCTTATGTGCTGCATATTCTGATAGTCCTTGGGGCAGAGGGAGGGGGCGCCTGGCTGGTTAGAGTATCAGGTTAGTCGACCCAGGGGAAGCTCACTTAGGCCCCTTCTTGGCCTCAGTCTGCCTCCCGGACTGCAATCTGTCGTAAACCCAGGGAACGGTTGGCATCCCCCACTTTTTTGCAGGATGGACTCGAAGAAATACTAAAGCAAAACAAAACAAAAGCTTGGAATGTCGCAGCAGTTTCAGGAGTAGAGTAGGTTCTTGTTTCTTTACCAATTCCAAAGAAAAAGTTGTCTGGGCGCGCCTGGAACCAACGGGGTTTGTAGTGTAGTACGGATTGAATGCAGCTCTTGGAATAAGATAGCCGTTGGTTCCAATATTGTCACAGACCCTCCGTAGCGGTGTGACACTAGGCAAATCACTTAACCTCTCTGGGGCCTCACTTTTCTCATCTGTAAAATAATGTAGTTGGATTGAATGGTCTCTAAAATCGCTTCTAGATTTTAGGTAGATTATGATATGCCGAATCAAACCGGCTCCCTTGGTCCTGGAGATGGTTGCGTCATGGGCCCCCACTGTTGAAAATGAGGGTTTTTTTTTTTTTAGCAGTCTAGATGCAGTGTTGGTTGGGATTATTGTAAAGGAATATTCCTTTAAAAATTTTCCCCCTAATTATATGTAAAAACTATTTTAAACATTCTATTTTTAAAACTTTGAGTTCCTAATTCTCTTCCTCCCTCCCTGAGACGGCAAGCATTTTGATACAGGTTATACGTGTGCGTTCTCGCAAAATATATTGAAGGAATACTCTTGCGGAAGAAAATATTCTCCTTTTAATTAAGCTACCTCGCCCGGTCGTAGGCCACGTGTGTTAGGGAAGAAAGCGCTGTGGAAAGGAAAGACGCTGTCCAAAGCCCACAGTCTGGCACTCCTGGGCTGGCAGCGCAAGGCCAGAGGGCAATACAGACCAACCTGCCAGTCCCTGGGGCGCCAGGCTGTGGTGAGGACCTCCCCAGGCTGGGCCCCGCCCACGCCGTTGATCCCAGGGCAGGACCACGGGGGTTCGCAGCCGCTTTGGCCGCAGCCGTTGCTATGCGTTGCTGTGAAACGCCTGTCAATAAATACTGTTTGGATAGTGGAGCAAGAGCACAAGGTTTGTTTGCTTAGTGGTTAGAGGTTCAAAAGTCGGCATTGTCCCACTGCAAGCGATTACAAGTTCCCCTTCCTTAGTACCACCTCCTCCCTCCCTCCCACCCCCGTCCCGGACTCCCCAGGTTACTCTGGAGGAGTAGACCTCGGGGACCCAAGCTCTGTGAAATGCAAAAATCCTTGGCTACCGCTGAGCTCAGGCAGCAAATTTCCCAGGCCACAGGAAATGCAAAGAAATAATGGCCCCCAGGGTAAGGTAAACTGCCCCACGTTTCCGACACGGGGCCATAAACTCTCCCCCTTGGAACAGAGGGAGGCCACCCGCACGGAAGGGAATCCTCGCGATCTGGAGCGAGTAATGGAGCTGCCATCTGGAGGCTGCTTTAGAGTGGATGGAGCGCGGAGGTGGTCAAGTTTATTTTTCAAAAGATGACGCAACTTTCGAAACGCCTCAGCTCCCGCTCCCAATCCCCGCACATGGTTAGCTCCCAAGCCGTGCAGCTCCGGAGCTTTTTGCAGGGGGCCTCTTAGGAGGCTCGCGCTTTGGGAGAAGCGGGGGGGTGGTGGCGAGGAGAAGTCGGAGCTTTGAACGCATGCGCAGCTCCGCCGTGTACGGAGCTTGAAGACTGCCCTCTGATATCGCCAGGTAGGTTGGGGAAAGCCTCCGGCTGCGGTTTGGGCGGCTTTGAGCTCATCCCCTAGTCCTCCACCTATCCCTGTGTCAGGGACTCAGAGGTGTTTTTTTCACTGGAGAATGGGCCACCTTTGGGTCTCTGTCTTGAGAAGTTTTGTCTTCAAATTCAGTACGGCTAGAGTTTCCTCATTAGAGGAGTTTGCTACGTGGAATATTTAAATGAAGCCGGGCTTGGAAATGTTTACCTTAAAAAAAATCTTTTAAATTAATCGCAGCCTTAACTGGGTACGGAGTATGGCCGATAACCTGAAAAAGTTACGAAGCCTAGAGTTGGAATTCTACTTCTTAACACTTATCAGCTGTATGACCCTTGACAAGTCACTTGACCTTTTGGTGCCCCAGGCAAGTCCTAAGGCTATAAATTTCAGAACAGTTACTGATCTTCTTGAGTGATGTTAGAACTACTGGGTGATATCACAGTTCTGGCCCAGGGAACAAAAAACCGGGGAAAGGGGGATGTAAATACTGAATGCTTATTGTAGGGGATAGAGTACTGGATTTGGAGTCAGAAAGACCAGAGTTTGAACGCCACCTCAGACATTTGTTAGCTGGGTGTTATTTTGGGCAAGTCGTGCACCCTTTCAGAACCTCAGTTTCCTCATTTCTAAATCGGGGATAACAATAGCATCTACTTCTGAGATCTGAGGATCATAGATTTAAAGCTGAAAAGAAGTCTTAGCTATCCTAGCAAATATTCCAGGCTTACCGATTGGGCAGTCTGAGGCCTAGTGATGCCATGCAGCTTTTCCAAGATCTGCTACTTGCCGATAGAAATAGCAGATTGCCTACCACTCTATGAAAATTCTCCATTCCATGAATGTTAAAATCTAGTATTTGTTGTTTTACCTAGATGGTTCTTAATTTTTTAAATATTCATTTTTACATGCTTTCATTACCTCTCCCACTGACCCCCCCCCAATTAAACAATGAAAAAGAAAATGAAAATTCTGGTAATAAATATTTATATCTAGATGATCTTCCTGAGTTCAAATCTGGCCTCAGACACTTACCAGCTGTGTGACTCTGGGCAAGTCACTTAACCCTGTTTACCTCAGTTCCTCACCAGAAAAGGCTCCAGAATGAAAGGGCAAACCCCTTCAGTATCTTTTTGAACAAAACCCTAAATGGGGTCTTGAACATTCGGACATAACTGAACAACACTTATGAGGATTAAATCAGGTAATAAAGGCTATGGAAATTTTAAAATATTTCAAAGATCCCTAATTTCATGGATGTGAGTTTTTTCTTCACCTGGAAGAAAGATTGAAGAACTTTCCAGTCCTGGGTAGACTGTATCATGAGTTTGATTCAACAAGGATCCGTTAAACACTTACCACGATCAAGTCACTGGGCATACAAAGACAGAAACAGAACAGTTCCTGTCCTCAAGGAACTTATATTCCACTGGAGCTGAAGGTGAAAAAACAACAACAACAACAACCTGGTGATCTACAAATCATTAGATCCTATCAAATAATAATAATATTAATTTCTGCTCCTTTAATTTAGATCCTACACAAATCTACAAAAAGCTCTAGGCATTCTATCATTTTATAGCACCATGTTCTTTCTGTTACAAATGCACATAGTAGTTGCTTAATAAATGTTTATTGCATTGAATTACATTATCTCATTTGATCTTCACTATAACCTGGTGAGGTAGGCAAGGATTATTATCCCATTGTGCAGATGAATAAACAGAACATTTTCTGAATGGTGTATGGTGTAATGGATAGTTTGCTGGAATTTGAGTAAGGTAGACCTGCTTCAGAGGAGTTGTCTGACTCTGGACAAGTCACTATGAACCTCAGTTTCATCTTCTATAAAATTTGGATAATAATAGCACCTACCTCACAGGGTTGTTTTAAGGATTGAATGAAATAATAGGTAAAGCACTTTGCAAACTTTACAGAGCTACATAAACATTATCTATTACTACTGATATGATTGGTAGAGAGAGCCCTAGACCTGAGTTTGACTTTTGGCTGTGCTACTTATATGATCTTGGACAAGTCACTCACCTCTCTGAGGGGCTAGCTAGATAAAGAATTTCCTCCGGCTCTAAAATCCCACGACTCTTCCAACATTCAATTCAATTCAATTTAATTTTTTTCTTTTAAATAGTATTTTATTTTTTCCAATTACATGTAAAGACAATTTAGAATATTTTTAAATAAAATTTTGAGTTCTAAATTTTCTCCCTCTCTTCCTCTTCCCTAAGACAGTAAGCAATTTGACATAGGCTTTATATGTATATATATATATATATATGTATATATATATATACATATATATAATCATATATGTACATATATATATATAATTATGGGAAACATATTTCCATATTAGTCATGTGAAAGAAGACTCAGAATAAAAGGGAAAAAACACAAACAAATAAACAAAGTGAAAATAGCATAATTCAATCTGCATTCAGATTCCATTAGCTCTTTTTCTGGGTATGGATAATATTTTCCATCATGAGTCTTTTGGAATTATCTTTTGGAATCATTGTACTGCTGACAAGAACTAAGTCAGACATAGTTGATCATGCACAATATTGCTGTTACTATGTACAATGATCCCCTGATTCTGCTTACTTCACATTTTATCAGTTCATGTAACTAAGTCTTTCTAGATTTTTCTGAAATCTGCCATTATTTCTTATCATTATTTCTTATAAGCACAGTAGTATTCTATTACATTCATATACCGTAATTTGTTCAGCCATTCCCCAATCGATGGGCACCCTCTCAATTTCCAATTCTTTGTCACTATGGAAAACAGCTGCTATAATTTATTTTTCCTTTTTTTAAAAATTTCTTTGAGATATAGACCTAGTAGTGGTATTGCTGGCTCAGTTTGATTGCTCTTGGGCATCGTTCCAAATTGCTCTCCAGAATGGTTGGATCAGTTCACAACTCCACCAACAGTCAACACACTTTTTATTAAGAGCCTCATGTGTGAAAGGTGCTGTGCTAAGAATTGGAGATAAAGACAAAAATGAGATAATCCCTGGCCTTGAAGAGCTTCCACTCTAGGGCAGGGAGTAATACATATTCAGATAAATGTAAAGAACACTAATCACTTGGAAAAAATTGAGAAATGCTTCTCATAGGAGAGGCTTCTATGCCTTGAAACAGTTGAGGGGCTCTAAGAGGCAGAGGGGAGGTAGGAGTGCATTCCAAACATGCATGTGCAAAGTTGTGGAAATGGGAGGTAGCATGTGGAATTCATGGAAAAGCTAACATTAGAACTGATTATTACATATTTCAAACTGGATGTCCCATAAGCATCTCAAACACAACATGTCCAAAACAATCCATTACTTATCCGCACACTAAACCGTCCTATTTTTGAACTCCTCTATTTCTGTCAATGAGATGACTACCTTTCTAGGATCCTAAGTTTGAAACCTTGGTGTTTTCCTTCTCATTCTTTCTCACCCCTCATATCCAATTAGTTGCCAAATCTTGTCCCTTCTACCTCTACAACGTCTCTCAAATTTGACCCCTCTTACCACTCACACAGCCACTATAGTAGTTCAGACCCTCATACCTCTTGCCTAGAACTATTGCAATGGTCTCCTAATGGGTCTCCCGCCTCAAGTCTCTAACCCCTCCAACCCAGCCTCTAAGTGGCTACCAAAGTCATTTTCCTTAAGCACACATCTGACCTGTTCTTGCTCCTACTTGACAAACTATAGTGATTCTCTGTTGCTTGAAGGATCAAATATAAACACCCCTGTTTGATATTTAAAGCTTTTCACAACCTAGTACCAATTTACTTCTCCAGCTTCATTAAATATGACTCCCTTTCCTGCACACTCTATGGTCCAGCCAAATTGGCCTTCTTGCTGTTCTCTTCTTTTCTTTTTTGGCTAGGCAATGTGGTTAAGTGACTTGCCCAGGGTCACACTGCTAGTGAGTGTAATGTGTCTGAGGTGGGATTTGAACTCAGGTCCTCCTGACTCCAGGGCTGGTGTTTTACCCACTGCACCACCTAGCTGACCCTGTTCTTTTCACAGAACACTCTGTTTTCCATTTCTTTGCCTTTGCACAGGCTATTTCAGATGCCTAGGATGCACTCTCTCCCTACTTCCTCCTTAGCTAAAGTACCACTTTCTTTTTACTTAAAAAAAAAAGCCTTTATTATTTCTCACTTTCACAGCCCCCTATTGAACAACAAAAAAACCCCAAACCCTTTATGACAAATACCTATGGATTAATCCAGCCCAAAAAACTCCTTCATTGGTCAAAAGTGCCTATTTCATGCTTCATTTTAGCTCTGTCACCTATCTGGCAGTATGGGACAGTGTGTTTCACCTCCAGTCCTCTGCACTCATAATTTATCATTGCATTGTTTAGAGACCGAAAGTCTTTTAGAGTTATTTTTCCTCATAAGCATTACCTTCTACATAGGACCTTTCTTGATCCTGATGGTTGCTAGGGAACTTCCTTCCCAAACTACCTTGTATTTATTTTACATGTGTTCTTTACATATTTTTGCCTATAAATTCTTTGTACGTTTATGTACGTACATGTTACTTCCCTTCCCCTCCTCCCCACCACCTGCACAGGGGCCAAATGAGAAGTTTGGATTCAGTCAAAGAGCCACACTTATGGACCTAGAGGGCCACATGTGGCCTTCAGGCAGAAGGTTCTCCACCCCTGGAATAGAAAAGAATAGGAGGTCAAAGAGACTTCCCTCAGTCTACTCTAATGTTTCTAAGTCTGATTAGGGAAAGGAAGAAAAGTCTCTAACCATAATATATAGTTATTGTTGTTTAAGATCTTTCATTTTGAAGGGATCTACATGTCAAATTCTTACTTTCTCTTCTGCATTTTACCTGAAGCCATGCCAGTAGGCTGCCTTGGCAATGATTCTTTAAGGCTGGCTTTAAACTAGGCCCAGAGCTCATTCTTCCTGGTCATTTGGCCCAAATCATTATCTTGACTGCCAAAGATTTTTCCTTAATATGATTGAGAAATACTGTTACTACTACTTGTGTTAAACAACCTTTTGCTTTGTTCAGTGGGAGGGAAGGAGGAAAGGGCATGTATCTAAGTCTCTTGCAAATCATTTGGATTAGCTTTTGGGTGACTTTCCTTAATGGGCATTCATTCAGCGTAACATCCCATATCCAACATCTCCAGACTCAGAGAGCATGCTCTACCCTCCTTTTCCTTTTCTTGCTCCTCCACCTCTTGCCTTTTTTTTTAATCAGAAGTGTTATATAATTGAAAAGGCAGAGGAACTTTGGGTCATATCCATTAGCTAGCTGTGTTTTTGGGGCAAAACCTCTCTAATGCCTCCCCTATATATCATAAATATCAAATGTCTTCCATAGATGATTTGCAGATACTGAAATTAAGCCTGGAAAGGAATCCTGGGCTCCTACAAAGAAAATAATATCGAAACAAAGTCCAGATCTTATTATGACAATTGCATACATCATGTTAACTTTGTTGTTGGACTTCTAGGTCAAGAGGTGATGGATTAGTTTATAGAGGAAGGAGTACAGGTGACCTTTTGGCTTGTGTATTCCTGGAACCAGCAGATATAAATTTGATGCTCCTTTTCGCAAAGTGAAATTTTTGTCATTAACCAGCAGTGGATGAAGACCATATTAACTAGGTGCAGTTTGTTCTGCAGCAAAATTCTTTCCTCACAAATCTTGTCTTCAAATGTCAATTATATTACACAAACTGAGCTTTGCCTGTTGAGAAACAATTGCTAAACCTTACCCTGACACCCCGTGTGACCACACACACATAATCATTATAAGGAAAAAGAATTCAGGTTATGCCTAATTTTCTCAGGACTCTTTACATAGATGTTAGGTTATATCTCTTTAGCGTTTTCTTGGTAATAAGGAAATCTAGGCATTTTGTGTGAGGGAAGGTGGGGGTGGGGTGGGGTTTGGATTGCTGCTAAAGCTTTCAGTCCTTGGCTTAATTTTCTCTCTTAGAAAAGGAGCTTTTTTCTAATTATTCACTTGTTATCTCAGAGCCTTCAGCATCACCAGTCTGCTATCTTAGCACTTTGTGTCTGAAGTATAGCAATAATAGGTTTTATGCAAGTGATAGTTGATAAATTCTCTTCCAACTCAACTAAAGCAAACAATGAAAAACAATGTAGGAGCCACCAATACTGTTGTGCAAACATACAATCTCTTGTTGTGGGGCACTTAAATAATTTCAATTTATTGATGATTAGTGGAATCAGTGACAAGTATTAAGTGTCTAAGCAACAGATTAGGGGCTATTTAAAATCCAGGACTGTAGTCACTTACAAGTCTGCTATGACACTTAGAGTGTTATTCCACATTGTGATAATCTCTATCATCTGTGAGGGGAAAAAAAAACTTGTAAAGGATAAGGGCTCAATTCCTTTGTTATGACTGGGAATTCCCTGGGCATAGGGTATGTTCAAAGCACTGAAAATGAAAAGAAGCAAAGGATGCAGACTGAAGCCAGCAAATATTTTACAAGAGAAATAATAATAGTGATACATATGATTGTAGGAGCAAAGAAGAGAAAGATTAATTATCTGGATTCTACAAAAATCAATATGATAAATATTTCCCAAAACATCTTGGTAAAGAAAAAATATCTATAAATTTTGGGGGGACTGGTAGCAGAGCTTTTACTAGGTGTTAGAAATATACATAATCCATGAACTAGATTGAGATTACAATGATCTCCTGGAAACTAAAGGATGAAAAGGAAAGTTGTTTATTCTTACCTATCCTCAGATGTTCCAGATAGTGTCTAAATTCCATTAATTGTTTAAAATCCAACAGCACCTACTGGGTGGGTCATAAGATCATACCATCAAAAGGCTAACCTCTTCATTTTGTTGTATTTTATTTTATTGAGACTGGGATCCATATCTCTCCCAAGCTGGAAGTGCTGGGGCCACTCATGTCCTGATCCCAGTGCTCATCAGCACAGAAACTTTGCCTTGCTCTATTTCTGACCTAGGCTTGTTCATAGGCAATCTGGTGGTCCCCTGCTCTAGAGCGCTCATCATATTGGCAAAGAATTTAGTGTAGACACCAGATTGGTTATAGCCTTACTGAAGCTCGGAACTCCAGAGCTCAAGATGTCTGCCCACTTCAGCCTCCCCAGTCACAGGGACTACAGGCATGCCTACCACATCCAGCTACTCCTATCATTTTGCAAATGAGGAAACTGAGGCACAGAGAAGTACCCATCGGCACACAAATGGCAGGCCTGGCCTCAGCTTCCCCTCACCTTCAACCTACTCCCATCCTTCTATCCCTCCCCCAACAATGATCCCTTTAAAAATTCTCTGTGATTTGTATACACATACACACATATAACTGTTGTTGTTTAATTGATTAGTCATGTCTGACCGTGACCCCACTTGAGAGTTTCTTGGCATTTGCCATTTCCTTCTCCAGCTCATTTGACAGATGGGGAAACTGAGACAAATATCGGAAGTGACTTGCCCAGAGTCACACAGCTAGAAAGTGTCTGAGGCCATGGAAGTAAGGTCCTCCTGACTCCAGGCCTGGTACTCTATCCACTGCGCCACCTAGCTGCCATATACATACATACACACATATGTGTGCGTCTGTGTGTATGTACACACATATCGATCTGCATAGGGGAAGCAAACAGTTGAATCATCACGTACAAATGCATTTACTGAGCATGTCTGTGATCCTGCGGCAATTTACTGACAAATAAAAAGATTGGCTCTGATTGGGAACTTCTTCAGTCTCAAATATACTACAAACAGAGTGCTCTTCCTTTTCAAATTTCTGCTTCCAGTTGGTTTGCAGACCAGCCACACAGTAATATGCCTGTACCTTTCTTTAGTTAAGCACACCATCTGACTTCCTTGAACTTCGCTGTTTTAGCAATCTACTCAGAAGGGCTAGAGATCTTACTTTTTCTCCATAGGGTCTGTAGGCATGACCATGCTTCTTAAATGTTTGAAACATGGAAGTGGAAGATGCCATGTTCTCAGCTAAGCTCCTAGAGGCTGATTCACTTGGAAAGTAAGTGTCTGGTTCTGCGAGGCTGAGGTACTCCTCAGAGCACCCATTCAGAAACTTGGGCCTGGTATAAAGAGCTGGGTGACAGGGCTGAAGACCTGGTTGGTGTGACTTGAACTGCTCTGGCCCCCTCCTCTGCCCATAATGGCTTTAGTTGGTTCCTAACACCAGTCTAACTCGATAAATAGCATCTCCACACCTCCTACTCTCTGGAGCTCTGGCTCCCTGTGTACATATTCAGGAAAGTCTTTGCTCAGTTTGTTGGCATTTTAAATGCTGTGATTTATTTTTTCTTTTCCTAAAGAGATCCAGAATTCTCTTTTCCTTTGTCAGGAAGCCACATAGAAGATTCTAGAGTGGTTTCCAGACTCTTGGCTCCAACCCCCTTCCTATCTCTTCTCCTTTCCTCAACTCATGGTAATGTCCATATCTCTCCAACTTTTCCCTGACTCAGGCAGTGACTGAGACCTTCCCGGTGTTCTTCAAGGTTCTGGGAATTTTCACAACAGCCACAGGACATCTAAACACGTAAGTAACTCACTTTTCTCCCCAAAAATCTGGAAAATGGGAAGATTAGACGGTCAAGAAGACGATCCAGAAGAGTTGGAATATATAGTAAGGAACACCAGATGGTTTGTCCTGCTTTTTTTGTAAATTAGACTCATAATTGGAGAGGTGGGGGAGGGAGGGAGGGAGACAGGACGGAGCTTTCAGCTGCCTCCATCCCCCATTTTCCAGGTAAGCACAGGGAGGACCCGGGGGCAGGGGTGGGGAGAAAGGACCAGACTGAGGATCGAGGAAATTCCCAGCAGGTGGCAGTGCAATCCCACGCTTTTTGGTAGGTCCCTGGCGCTGGTCAGCCTAATCCTCTGCAAAGTCAATGAAACGCTTCTCCCTCCACCTGTAGTTCCGTGTTATAATATAAAAGCACGATGGATGGCGAGTTGTTTTTTGTTTATTTCAATGTGGGAGAGGGGGGAGTAAAGGCTGAGAGTGGGGGATGGTGCAGGAGAAGCCCGGGGTGACGTTCACAGCTTGATTTTCCAGTTTAGAAGGTAAAAGTGTAAGAGAGTTTTTGTATTCGGCTGTAGCTGCACCTCTTCCTCGCCGCCTTCGGGGGCGCTGCGGGGCTTAAGGTTGTGGGTAGTTCGGAGCTTCGGAGGATCGACGGAGGGTCCAGGCACTAAGGTGGTTGAGGCTGGACAAGGAAGCTTGTTTGCTGGAGGTTTTCTGACATCCTTACCAGACTTCCTAGTGAAAGAACTAGCTTTCCAGGAATCATTTTCCCGACTCATAAGGGAAGTAGTTTTAAAATTTTGTTTTGTGGGAGCAGGAAGACAACGGTAGGGTTCTTAAATTTTTTGTTTGTTTCATGGACCGCATTTGAGCAGTCAACCGAAGTTTATGGACCCCTTCTCAGTATGTTTTTAATTGCATAAAATAAAACGCGTAGGATTACAAAAGAAGCCAGTTATGTTGAAATACACATTTAAAAAATCAACAACTTTTAAAAAAATTCCATAGTACCCCATGTTAAGAGCCATAGTCTAAAAGGAACTACCCCTTGGTCAAAATGTAGAGCCTTAAACAAAATAGGTGCAATTTTTCAGCTGTAAAGGAATATACTAGCCTGCATTTCCCAGCCTCCATTGGGCATGGCCCATTGACCATTAAAAAGTACTTTTGATATTCTTCTTCTGCAGTGCTAAGCCAGTGATTTCAAGGGGGAAAGCAGGGGTCCGAGGTTGGCGCCCAGCAGGCTAGCTTCTTATCTTGGCTAGAGAGCCTCACCCCAGTTTGCCACTCGCTGGGCTTGCATGATTTCCTTTGGTTTTCATGGGTTCCGGGAAACTCCCCCTTCTTCACTCTTTCTGTGCTTGCAAATTAAGATTGTGAAGATCTGGGAGCTGATAGTAGAGTTCTGAGAGAAAACTGCCTGTGACATCTCACAACTGGTGAAGAGAACACTCTTAACCCCAGGTGTCGTAGAACGCAATTCATTAATATTTGTGTTTGCCTAGTTTTCTTGCACTATTCATCGCTCTTGACCAACGTTTTATGAATCTTGGTGGAGCTCAATTTGTAAAGGCCAATTAATAAAGTTAATAATCACAGTGCAAAGGGGTCTCAACTACCCCCCACCAGTTCTTTTGATGTTTCAGCATTTTTTTAAAGTCTTCTTTCATTTTGAAGCGCATTCTGAATGACCAGTTGAAAAGGAAACTGAAATATAGAAACACTAGGGTTGAGTCTCCCACAACAAAGAAAGTTGCAAAGGTCAAAAGAAGCATGAACGTAGTAGCCAGCTAGCCACACGGGAGCAGTTCTTTCTTCAGCCCTACTTGTGAAAAATCAAGGTAAGAGAGATAAGGCATCTGGGAGTAAGCACATTTGAAAGCAACGATTCCTGGATGAAGAAAACTACAGAGTGCCTCATTAATATCAAAAACAACTGTTCAGGGTGCCCTAGGTTTGTTGTGATTAGCAGACTCCTCACCACTGTATTCAGAAGCTGGGGAGTCTTAAGGTTACTTTATATCCTTTTCCTTTCCTTGTGCATACTACTATAGTCTTAAAAATCAAATGCCATTTTATTAAAAAAAATTTTTTTGTTTTGTTTTTACATCACTTTCATTTTTGAGTATATTTCTGGCCTGCTGCTACCCAGAGAGTTTTTCCTCCTAAGAAAGAATTAAAAGAAAAACAGTTAATCAAAAATAATCACATATTTGAATCTGACAGTACAGTCAGTGTTTTACATGAATAGTTGTCCATCTTGGCAAAGAAGAGACATAGGTACATTTCCTCCTTCCTTCTTGTGGGCCAAACTTGGTCACCATAGTTATAAAGCTGTTCAGTTTTATTTTGTTTTGTTCTCTCTACATTTATTATTGTTGCCATTTTAAATGGTTCTGCTCACTTTTCTTTGCAGCAGTTCATATCAAAGATTATTTTTAAAAGTTTTTAATTTTTTCCCCAGTGAATTTTGATGGGAACTTAAGTGTTCTGTTATAGATCATTTTTTTTTGTTTGTTTCATTTTTGCTTTTTGGTGAGGCAATCAGGGTTAAGTGATTTGCTCAGGGTCACACAGCCAGTAAGCGTCCAGTGTCTGAGGTCAGATTTGAAGTCAGGTCCTCCTGACTTCAAGGCAGGAGCTCTGTCCACTTCGCCACCCAGCTGCCCCCTCATGTTTTTTTTTTTTATATAATAAAGTTTGAATTTGAAAGCCAATTATTCAAGCATTCACAGAAACATAGATTCAGGGTTTTTTTCTTCTTTAAATTATTATTATTGTTGTTCTTGCTCATCCTTCAGTTCTCAAAGAGGACCGATGACATCACAAAGGTGATGTGACTTATGAGAGAATTGGATTTAAATGAGGTATATATGAGAGTAAGGGATCCCTACACTGATTACATGTGGGATGTTAGGAGGTTTTGTTTGTTCAAATTTTAAATTAAATTATTAATTTTTTGTTTTGCATTTATTTTTAAAATTAGGTTATACTGGCATTGCCCTTTAATAGCTCTGCTGCTGTAAATAATTTGGTAGAGTGTAGAGTGATTCTTTCCTTCCTCTTCCTTTAAAAAAAATAATTTAAGAAAGTACTGTGATTTTTCTCCCATGACAAGAAAAAAAAAACAGTTAACTAATTCTGCCCCATGGCCTTCACAATCAGGGGTACAGGACCAGGCAGAGCATACCTTCCCATTATCTTCTATTGGAGAAAGACAAAGAATTTCCCAAGACAGATGGGAGAGTTTGGAGGCTAAGAGTGAAGCACAACTTGAGATTTCCTACTTATTCTGGCATAGTAATGTATAGACCATGGTCTCTTAATGGTGGGGGTGGAGTGGTTTCCATGAACTTGTTTTAAAAATAACTTGATAACTACATTTCAGCATCATTGGTTTATTTTGGAATCCCATGTATTTTTTTTTTATTTAAAAACGTTCTGAAAAGGGATCCACAAACTTCACCAGACTGGCATGGACCTATGTCCATGGCATAAAAAGGAGTTAAAGAACCCCTGACTGAGAATGTACTTGAAGCAGGAGTTGCCTAGAAATAAGTGGAAATAGTAGGAGCCCTTGTTATGGGCAAAAAGAAATAAAAATAAAGATTAGAGAGCAGTTAAAATTGAGAAATAATCAATTAGCACAGAACTCTCATGGCTTTTTACATTCCTCTCTATGCATTAATTTGCATTCATATTTAGTTTTGTAACCTGGAACAGGAGTTGCTGTATGGCATAAAGGTAAAAGGCCAATCTCAGAACTTGAAAGACCAAGTCTTACCTTTGATACATGTAATGACTATGGCACATATGGCTGTATAACTGCGGACAAGTCATTTTATTTGACCCAGTGACCCAGGAAATCCTCTAAGACTATGAATTAAAGACCATTTTCTAGGTCTCATTAGTGGAGGAAGTTTCCACACTAGAACTTCCCTGCACTGAACAAATTGCTATTCCACACAAAAACATCATAAACATCCAGACATTCCCCCCCCTCTCCCCCCACAACATACCAACAAGTTTGAGTACGATGTAGGAAGACTAGAAAGGTAGAAGGGATCAGGTTATGAAGGGCCTTGAATGCCAAACGGAAGACTGAATATTTGATTCTAGAGGTGATAGAAAGTCCCTGGAATTTATTGAATGGCTGGGGGATGATATGGTCAAACTTGCACTTTAGGAAAACCGGTTTGACAGCTAAGTGGAGGATGAACTGGAGTGGAGAGGGATTTGAGGTAGAAACTCAAACTAGCAGGCTATTACAATAGTTCAGCCTTGAGGTGTTGAGGGCCTATACCATGGTGGTGGCAGCTTCAGAGGAGAGGAGGCATATATGAGAGATGTTACGAAGGCAGAAATGATAGAACTTGGCAACAGATTAGGTATGAGAGGAGACAGAGACAGAGAGACAGAGACAGAGACAGAAAGACAGACAGAGAGAGATTGAGAAAGAAGTGTCCAGGGTGATGCCTAGATTTCCGACCTTGAGTGACTGGGAGGATGATGGTGCCCTCAATAGTAAGAGAGGAGTTGGGAAGATGGGAGGGTTTGGGGACAAGATAATGAGTTCAGTTTTGGACATGTTGAGTTTAAGATGTCTATGGGACATCTAGTTCAAGAAGGAGATGTGGGCCTAGAGGTCAGGAGATAGGTTAAGGCTAGGTAAGTAGATCTGAAAATAATCAGCATAAAGATGATAATTGAATCCATAGGAGTTAATGAGATAACTAAGAGAATTAGTATAGAGGGAGAAGACCAGGGACAGAGTTTTGGAGCACACCCAGAGTCAGTGAAGATCCTGTAATGGCCACATAGGGAGTGGGAGAAGCAGTATAGAGTCCTCTCATAGAAACCTAGAGAGAAGAGTATCAGAGAGGAGGGGATGATGAAGTGGGAGACTTCAGAGAAGTCAAAAAAGGATGAAAATTGAGAAAAAGCCATTAGATTTAGCAATTAAGAGAGATCACAGGTACCTTTGGAGAGAGCCACTTCAGATGAATGATGAA